CAGTCCCGTGGGGGCTGCTCACGTTGCCCAGTTTGAGCCCAGGTGGTCGGCGCTGCCCGGGGACAGGGCCTCAGCACGCTTCTGGGGCCTCCTGCTGGTATGTGCTCTCAGGAAGGGCCGTCGGTGCTGTGCTGGACCATGCTGTGGCCTCCGTGGGGGGCTCTGGAGCCCCGCGTGGCTTCCCGTCAGCAGGGTCCTCATGGTTACGAGCCTTGGGACCTGCTGACCTCTCCATCGGCTGGGAGGTTGGAGAACCAAATGGGTGGCCTGATGCTGCTTCATCCCTGAGCTTCTCTGTGATTTCGGGGCGTTTTCCCCACAGCCTTTTACAGGCCACTGGGCTCAGACAAAAGTGCATGGCCAGACCACAGGTACCTGCTGCTTCTGCTCCCACCAGTGATCGAGAGGAACCCCCCCTTTACAGATAGGTGCTCGGAGATAGACGCGGCTAGCGGAGGTTCACAGCCGTCGGAGATGGGGCTTCTCCCCAGCTCCGTGCCCTCCCCACACCCCTGTGGCTTGGTGGGAGGAGTGGGATCAGAAGCGTCCCCCCACTTCTGGGCCTGGGGGGGGAGTGAGTCCATTCCTTTGGCTTCTGCCGGATTCCTGCTCAGTCTCAGCCCTTCCCACTGAGAGCCGAGGCTTGGCGAGTTTTGGCCCAGATAACCGGGCTGTGCGTCCTGCCTGTGGAGCCCCGATAAGGCACCAGTGACCTTTCTTTATAAGGATCCCATTATTCTGGCCCGAAGGTGGGTGTCTGGGCGGTGGTGGAGGGGTCGGTGCTCAGAGGCAGGAAACTGCCTAGGAGGCAGCTTGCGGTGGGGGGCAGGGCACTGTGCCGGCTCCCGGGGGGTGGGGGCTAGGGTGGGCTCCGTGCCCGCTCCCCGGACCTGCTGTCGGCCAGTCGGCCTCAGCTCAGCATCAGAGAGCCTGTCACCTGGCAGGTACCCAAACAAGTGTTCGAACTCAGGGACGCAGGGCTGGCCTGGGCCTCCTCTGGGCCAGCCCCGCGTGGGACCCATGGCCCGTGGATGCTGGGGGGCTCTGGTGTCCCAGGTGGGAGACCAGAGAGAGCACCCCTGAGCCCTTGGGCAGCTGGAGCCCAGGCCCGGGGAGCCTCCCAGCAGGCGGGGGGGGGGCAGCTGCCCACCGTGGGTGCAGCCCTAGCTGGGGCCTGGCTCCACGGCCCGGGTTGTGGGGGGGGGCGTCTCTTTCCTCATGGCTCCATTCTTCAGCTCTCTCTCCCTCCCCTCGGGCTCCGGGGATGGGGTGGCTGCCCTCCTGTGGGCCTGTGGGCCTTTAGCTTTCATCGTGAGGAGGCACCACCTGCCCAGCATCGGGTTGATGGTCCCGGCAGCCTGGCAGCCTCCTGGTGCCAGGCCCCCACCTCCACCCTGCCTCCTGCTAGTGCCCAGAGCACAGGGCTTGGTCCTCGGCTGCACCGGGCTCTCTAGCGCTCACACCGCACCTGGCTTGGCGGGCAGGCAGGAACAGGGCTACTTCTCCAGGGCTACGTTGGAAATCCGCCCCAAAGGGACCCTGGCCACCACTCTGAGGACCCGCCCCGACCTGCAGAAAAGGAGGAACGAGGCCCAGGGGTGTTTGCCGTGTGGCTTTCATCTGCGAGCCATTCTGTGAGCCCCTGCTCGGGGTGTGCATGGGGTAGACAGCAGGACAGACGGACGCCACCCCCTCCTAGAGTGTGTGTCCTATGGGGAAAGAGAGTTAGTGAGAAAGGAACACCGGGGAGAAGGTTCTGGAACTCCCAGTGCTATGTGGAGAATTTGCCTGTGTGAGATGTAAGGGGGGCCAGCCCTCTGCGAAGTGACATTTAAGCTGAGTGTGGGAAGGACCCCACCAGGCGGAGATGTGGGCGAGGGCATTCCAGGGAGGACGTTCCAGAGCAGAGGCCCTCGGGCACCGGCTCTGCGTTTTCCAGGGACAGAAGGGGGCCCGTGTGGCCGGGAGAGTGAGTGGGAGGAGGGGAGGGTCGTGGAGGGGCTAGAGGAGAAGGGGAGGGGATTGAGTCTGGACCGGGTTCAGCCACTGGGGACATGGGACCTGGATTTACTTTTGCTGTGGACGAAACGGCATCCACTCCCCAGCACCTCGCCCCGGCCTGGACCACGGTGGAGAGAAAGCACCCAGTGTCCACCGCAGCCGGGATGAGCAGTGGGAAGACCGAGGGAGGTATGAACTCAGCAGAGCTGTGTAGACCCCGGAGCACTACTGAGTAAGAGTGCTGCCCTCCCTGTCTGAGCGGGTCAGAGGGGGCTCACGGGGGCCCAAGCACTGGCGTGGGGCGTCAGGACAGAGGAATGTGCGCTGGTGCACACCTGCACTGCATTCGGATCAGAGGATGTCCGCGCCAGCAGTTGAGGCATTTGAATGTCACCTCTGATGGGTCTGATTGTTGGGCTAATAGGGAGCAAGTGGGAGGGAAGGAGGGGTAGCAGGCTGCTCAGCTGACTGGCTGGAAAGATCCA